TACTTAGATGATATTGTGATTTTTGCTAAAGACTTGGAAGAACATGGTAAGAAGATTCGAAGATTATTGCAAAGATTAAAGGATGCAAATTTATCTTTACAACCGGAAAAATGTGAGTTTTTATTCAAAGAAGTTGCTTATTTAGGACACATAATTAGTAATGAAGGAGTAAAACCTAATCCAAAAACAATTGAAGCTGTAGCAAATTTTCCAATACCAAAAACACCAAGAAATGTGAAACAATTTTTAGGATTAGCAGGATACTACAGGAGATTCATAAAAGACTTTTCAGGAAAGGCAAAACCTCTTTCTAATTTATTAAAAAAGGATGTAAAATTCGAATGGAACAAAGAACAAGATAACAGCTTTAAAGAATTAAGAGCAGCATTATGTAAGGCACCCATTTTACAATATCCTGATTACGATAAGCCTTTCACATTGACAACAGACGCTTCAGATTTCGCTATAGGAGCTGTATTAAGTCAAGAAAAGGATGGACTTGATCTACCTATTGCCTATCTCTCTCGAGTGTTAACTGCGCCTGAAATAAATTACTCAACAACAGAAAAGGAATGTCTAGCAGTTCTATATGCTGTCCATTATTTTAGACCGTATATATATGGAAAGAAATTCACTTTGGTCAGCGATCATGAACCCCTAAGATGGATAGACACCATTAAAGACCCAGGACAAAGATTAATAAGGTGGAGATTAAAATTGCGAGATTATTTATATGAATTTAAACATAAATCAGGTAAATTAAACACTAACGCAGATGCCTTATCTAGAAATGTTTACACAAAAGAAGAAAAACCGCTTGAAACCGAACATACACAATTCAAAATATTAATGAACAAACAAACAATAAATCCAAAACCAAAAATAAAACCACCTCCAACATCTATTGTTACAAGAAGCAAAACTGGACAAAATTCAAAAATAAAACCACCTCCAACATCTGTTGCTACAGGAAGTAAAAGTGAAAAGGAATTAAAAACATTTAAGCCAAAATCAATATTAAAACCTCCAAAAACTTTAGACCTAAGCACAATTGCCTCAAGAGTATCAACAAGAAGGGCAACACAAACCAGAACAAAAATAATAGAAAAACCAACGGAAAGTGAGAATTCCGAGGACGTGGATATTGAAAACATTAATCCCCCTATTCAAAAGGCTAGTAGAAGTACACTTCCTAGTTTAAAACTTCCACCAGCTGCATTAAAACTTCCCCCTGGACCAAAAAGTGCACCTCCAGAATTACCTATTAAAAATGATTTGATTCTACAGCAAGAAATGGAGCTCATAACTAACATAGACCCACCGATAAATATAACTGAAGAAAGTTCTGAAGTAGAAGAAGAAGCATTACAATTAACTAAAACCAAAATTGCAGAAAATTTAGAACAATCGATATCACGATTTAATGATTCTTTAGCACAGCATAAAGATTGGTTAGCAGATACTTCTTTATCACCCAGAAATTGGCGAACTAATTCCGATGGAGATGATGATGAAGCTATACACAAAGCAGCTAATGAATGTATTACAGGAGATCATGCTGAATTTTCAGAAAAATTAGATTTTTATTGGGATTATGCTAAAGGTGAATCCATATGGCAGGACAATGAACAAGAAATACTCCAAAATTCTAACTCAGAAAAGGACGACATGAATCAAGAAGAATTAGAAATTTATGACTCAGAATATGAAGATTCAATTAATAATGAAGACATAATAGAGGAGATGTACTTTCAAACGCCACTGAAACGAAGAAAAAGAAAGTTTAAAAAAAGAAAAGTAACCTTTAAACCAAATTTACAGGAAATAAACACACCCATGCAATTCAACAACCCTACGGCAGTATCTACACCTTATTATAATTCAAATAATGAAACAGATTCTGAAGAGGAAATTATAGAAGTACAAGAAAAAGAAGATACAAAGAAAACATTTAATAAATCGAAAATTAAAACATCATTATCAAGTATTCCTCCAGAAATACCCATAAATTATTCCAAATTAAATGAAAGAAATTCTAATATAACGAGCAGCAGAGAAAACCTAACATATAATCGAAGTAATTATATTCATTTCTTGTCAGCAGATTGCGAATTCATTTCACCTATAAGTAGACTTTTAATAGATATAGGAGTAATAGATCCCGAAGAAATGAAATCTAAAAATCCTATTAAAGGACAAATATTTGTAACACCACGAGGAAAATACAAAATTTACACCTTAATAATAAAAGAAAATCATTTTGATCCTTTAATAAAAGAAGATATCATTGCAGGAATACGTAATTTAAAAAGTCTTCTTTACCACGAAAAAACAGAAGAAATAAGAATATCTAGGCATGGAGACTTTACCGATGAATTACCTAGAGGAGAGTTAATACAAATTATCAATTCTATTTTTGAAAACAGTAATATTAAAATTACTATTTGTCATGGACAAGTTGTAGTACCTAAAGAAGAAATTAGAAACGATATTATCAGTGAATACCACAAAAGCAAAATAGCAGGACATAAAGGCATTACAAAAACATATAGAAGAATAAGAGAAAGATTTTATTGGCCTCGAATGAAAGATGAAATAACGGAATTTGTAAGAAAATGTATAACATGCCAATCTCAAAAACTTGTACGTATTAAAACCCGAGAACCAATGCTTATTACTGATACTCCTTTAGACGTTTTTGATAAAGTTTCTCTTGACACTGTAGGTAAATTACCAACAACCCCAGATGGAAATTGTCATATCCTAACTATGCAAGATCATTTATCTAAATACTGCATAGCTGTTGCAATACCTGATATTTCTGCAACCACAATCGCTCATACTGTTGCAAAAGAATTATTTTCAGTATATGGAGCACCAAAAGTAATATTAACTGACAAAGGCACCTCATTTATAGGAAAGTTAATGTCTAAATTATCAAAATTATTTGAAGTACAACAAGTCACGACATCAGGTTATAGGCCTCAAACAAATGGATCTTTGGAACGAAGTCACGCTGTTTTAGCAGATTATATAAAACAATATGCTAAAGATTATGATGATTGGGATAGATTACTTCCTTTTGCTATGTTTGCATATAATACTTCAGTACATGAAGCTACTAATTTCACTCCATATGAGTTAGTTTTCGGTAAAATAGCCCGTACTCCTAGCTCATTTCCTGAACAAGAAAAACTAGAAACATATGGCTCATACTTATCAGAATTAATAACCAGATTAAATGAAATTCGAATCTTAGCAGCAAATAATTTAATAAATGCTAAATTAAAATCAAAAGAAAATTACGATAAACTAATGAAACCATTTTTAGGAAAAGTAGGAGATAAAGCTTATGTAATAAAAGAAGGAATGAAAAGAAAATTCGATCCTTGTTATCATGGTCCATACAGAATTGTGGCTATATTGGATAAAAATAATGTAATATTAATAAATGAAGATGGACAAAGGTTTCAAAAACATGTAGATAAATTAAAAATTGCTTATGAATAGGTTAATAACATAATTTTCCTGTTTTAGATGACTGAATCATTCCTATTCACTGCACCTCTACAAGGAGAATTAATTGGAGCTTTCATTTTCCCAAAAGGGGATATTTCATCAATTGCTTACCCTAAGGGAATTCTTGAGGAACTAACTGCCGAATATAATCTTAATAAACCCATTTATATTATAGAACCGGGCACAGGCCCTTCATATAAAAAACCCTGGCAAGTTAGGTGTACTGTAACAGACTCTAAAAATAATAATACTTTCATTGTATTAGGGGACGGATGTTGCAAAGTTAGAGACTCTGAGCATTCAGCAGCTCGAAAAATTCTAGAACATTTAAATAAGATTTACTACTTTAGTGAAGAAGAAAAACCAAAAATGATCACCAATTCGACATATGTAATGTCAAGACAAGAACCAACAATAATAAAATTAAAATTATATAAGTGGGAAAATTGCTGCGAACTTTGTTATTCAAGGGGACATTTAAAAGAGCAATGTCACGGCGTAATACGAAACAAACGTTTTCTAAATAATATACAAAAACCAGACGAAAACAACTATGACGAAATTAATGATTTTTGGGAATTGCCATCCCCTACAAAAAAGCATTAAATAGTATTTAATGATATGACAATTAAACAATAATCACTTTGATTATTGTATATGTAATAATTCCATAATAGTCATATTATTTAATTATCCTTATTATATAATAATCTTATGTCTAATTACATTATCATTATTAAAAATGTATGTTATCATAATATTTTATTAATTACTGATTAACATTTTAATAATTATATCATTAAATAACTATATAATCATAATAATATTAATACATATTCAAAAAAAAAAAAAAAAAAATTTTTATTCATTATTTATATAAAATAAATTATAAATAATAATTATAATCATAAAATTAACAAAATATTTTGAAAATAAATAATTTATTGTACATAAGATAAAATAAATAATCAAAAAAAAAAAATAATTAAAAGAAAGACGAAGGAAAAAGAAGGAAGGGGATTTGGCGGTCGCCTTCTTCCTTCCTCTTTATTTTAAAATTTTATTGTAAAAAAAAATATAACTAAAAATAAAAAAAAAATTTATTCCACAGATGGAGATTCCATTCCTAGGAATAATAAATGACGCCACAACATACATATCAATAGCATTTAAGCTATTAATATTCATTATATTAATAATAGTGCTAAAAAACCTATACTTTTGCTATAAGATTATAGCAATGAGAAGAAGAAGGAGAGAAAATCAACCAAACGCATAATAGACCAAGAAATATCAAACAATTTTGGCCTCAACACATTGAGGACAATGTGAAATCTAAGGAGGGAAGACAGTTATCAAAATCAGAAAAATTTTGAAGAATTTAAGACAATAAAATAACAAGAACAATGTGAGGCATCCTTTATAGACGTAGAACGACGCAGCAAAGGCAACGTAAAACAGCCTTAAAGCTTACGCATCGATCACATACATCGACCGGAGAGTGAAGCTATTCTCCAAGTGCGCATGTTGCACAGCGATGGCCGCCTGCTGGATGCATGCAAACCTTTAACAACACTGCCAATACCTCCAGCTTCTATTTCACATACGCCTATATAACACTCATCATTGAATAGCGGTAAAATAATTTGAATTTAAAATTTACACTGCTATTAAATGATGAAGAATAAATCATATATATATTTTACCTATAATAAAATAATAAAAACAAAATCATTAATAAACTATACATATATCGTGCTTTATTATATTAACAATTGCAATTAATTAATAAATAAACAATAAAACAATGCAATTATGTATGAACATTTATATTGTTTATTATATGCGCTTGTTTGCATGAAAATATAACCAAGTAAATAAATAATAAAAGCATTATTAATTTTATTGTTTATTATGTTGAATTACATAATGAAAATATTACCATATTGTAATTAATAAAATAATAAGTTTGGTAATTTAAAGTAAAAGTGACAGTAAAGATTAAGATAATAATAATGAATTGTTACTAAATATTCAACATTAATATAAATAAAATTAATAATAATAAACTAATTTTAGTTATCATATATATAACATTAGTTAACAAATTTATTTTAAAATAATTAAAACGCTTTAATTATAATAAAACTAAGTATAGCTTATTGAAATATACTAATATAAAAATTTTAAACTAATAAACAATTATAAATAAATGCAAAATAAAGGCTTCGAGTTGAGCCTTGAGTATCAGGCAAGCATGAGAATGCGGGAGGGTACTCGATGCGCGGAGGAGTGGCGAGGCCCACGCCTCCCGCTAGCCTCCCGCGCGCTGGGTCCCACGCCTTCCTTCTCATGCCAAGCGACGGCCGAGTAGCTAGACTCGCCATCTTGTCGCACCGTGTATGGCTGCCATAGCGTACTCGCAGAAACTACCTCCGAGCGCATTCTTCTTCCCTAGTTCTAAATATGAATATTTCGCGTTGGATTCATCGATTTAATCAATAAATCGATGGCCCCAACACCTAACAATATTGTTTTTTATCTATATATATGTATATGTATATCTAAAACTGTATGTAAAAAAAAAAAAAAATTTTTTTAAATTTAAAATAATTAAAATGATTAATAAAGTTTAAAAGAAAAGGATATATATATATATATGTGTATATATTAATAATTTATATAAGAAAATTTAAAAGTAAAAACAAAACAATTATGTAATTTATAATATTAATAATAAATCATATAAATTATACTTAAAGAAAGAATAATATTAAGGTTATTTAAAAAAAAAAAAAAAAGAGAAAGAATATTTCTATTATTATATAAAATAATCATCGTAGACATATAAAAAAAAAAAAGGGGATACATTATATAAGGAAGACAAGGATGGTGAAATTAAAATAAAATAAATTTTACAAAATTATTATAATATTTATTTAAAAAAAACACTCACTCGTTCACACTACAAAAAGTAAACTCACACACACACATTCAAAATATAAAAGGATACATAATAAAAAAAAAAAAAAAAAAAAAATATATTTTTTTTTAATTGAATGTTAAATATAATTTTGAGAATTCACACACACACACTATAAAAAACATGTTTCACACACACACAATGGAATTTTCAGAGGGTCTTCCTCTGTTTCTGGCCTTAGGAACCAGGAAGACCCTGAATGTAAGTCCGAGGACGAAGTGGACTGGATGGTCCCGGGAGCATCTTCAAAGGGCCTCCAGAAGGGCCCAGTTGAAGGGTCGCAACCTGGCACCTGTGGCTCAGCAACGTTGGGAACAGGTTGCTCCTCAACAACCATAATAGGTTGTTCTTCCCAAGATGGACCAGGTTGTTCTTCCCAAGATGGGCCAGGTTGCGGTTCCCAGGAAGGACCAGGCCGCGAGGATAAGGCATTTTCGGCTCCTTCCGTAAGCCAAACCATGGTTCGTGGCCTAATTTTAGGCCTCGCTTCACGATCTGTAACAAGAAACAAAATATATATATAATAAAAATAAAAGAGAGAGAAGGAAAATATATGAGTAAACAAACGAGGGTGAACTTACTGGCTTCCAGAATTGCCTGAGCTTCCCTTGAAGAAGGCAAAGGAATTAGGCATTCACCACAGAAACAGCCGATAGGGCGACCAGAACGACTAAAAAAAAAAAAAAAAAAAAAAAAAGGGAAAAATTATGCATATATAATAGTGACAGATTTTATATATAATAGAAGTAAAAGAACAAATTATATATATACTCACAAGAGAGAATTGAACATCGACGTCATAGTTCCTGCGTTCTCCCTTAATTCTTCTTTCAGCCCTTTCAGCTGCCTCAATCTTTCTTTCTTCAAGACGCCGTCCTTAACCACGCCTTTCCTCGGGCGACCTGGCCGCGACATATCTTCCAGGACCTCAATCTCCTCGGCAGAATAGTACACCGACGCTGCTAGGCCTTGCAGCGTCAGGAAAAAGGTGGTGATGTTTGATTTACATTTCCTTTCAAACACTATAACAAAAAAAAAATAGAAGATAATTGAAATAAACTGACACATGTAGCACTAAACAACAAAACACTGCTTCCAAATTCACTCACTATTTTCTGCTGCTGATTGTTGCTCCATTGCAATCACAAGTATACTGACGAGAATCACCAGCCTTCTACATCATAAAGGGATGAAAAATGCCGACCTAAACAATTCTAATGCACGCACACAACAAACAAGAGGTCATTAACTGTAACACGAAAGAAGAAATTCATACCTACCTCAAGAAGATAGCCATAACACTATGAATACATAAACACGCATCACAACATTGTAAATTCATTTTGATGTCATTTCACTATTCTTGTCTTCATATTAGCTACTACAGATAAGCTCAAGGGATATCAATGTCACAATGAATGTAGGTCAGTAAGCGTAAGGACTATAAAAGATAGTCTCAATTTCAAAAAAATTCCAGTCTTATAATCATGTATTTGCGACAACTGGAAATAGTTTCATCGGGACGATGAAAAATCTAAGGGGGGGAGACTGTTACATCCCGGTAACAATTTTTCCTAATTTTTCTTATTCTTATCATTAAAATAAGACATTATATATAATTCTATAATAATTTTACAATACTTAAACTGTATGTCTTATTTTAATGTATTTATTTATGTATATATTGATAGGATAGAGTGTGGAAACGAAATTGATCTCAGAAGAGATATGACATTCGTTTTCAACATATAAGTTCAGAAAGTTGAAAAGCTAAAAATAGGATATATGTAAGCAAAATGTGTAGCAAGTTCGAGCTTGTTTGTTTATACGCGTGAAGAATGTGAAGGTTGTGAAGATCCAAGTGTAATATGATCTTCAAAAACCCATTGTCAGCATATAAAAGAGAGAATTCAGAAAGAAGAAGATTCAATGTCATACATGCGATGTAGATCATTACCATATAAGGAAAGTGATTCTATTTATAGATCACCCCTTCCCCAATAATATGACATTTCTCCCACTAATTAGCATAATCGACTAGTATATAAACAAAAGCTTTTTCCATAAAGCTTGTCAAAAGTTCCGGTGCAATCTCTAACATCGTAGAGCGACCCTTCAGTTTACTTTCGCCCTAATTATTGTATTCTTTCCTGATAGCCAATAGGTGCAAGTTAATTTGACTTTTCACTTAGAACATAGTTCTTTCCTGATAGCCAATAGGTGCAAGAGAAGCAAATTAACACTTAGAATCAATAATTTAATAGAAATAACTGTCGTATTTATAACTATAAATACTAAAGAAATCTTGCATTATCTCTTTTTCTAAATTTGTCAATTTAGTATATGTTGCTTCTCTTACACCTGCTATAAAATTCATTCCTGTCAAAGGTGCGAGTGACGAGAAATAACAATAAAGAATATTGTAATTCTTTAAATAGTTATAAAACAACCTAAGTCGTTAAAGTTACACAAGTGCGACCAAAACGAACTATTTCAAATCAAATCAAAACCAATTATAACGACTAAGCTATAATCATCGATTTATCCGACTTCATTGCTAAAAGTAAGTAAAAGAATTGTAAACTTGTATCATTATTGTATAATCATTACTATATAATTATTATTTAATCAATAAATGTTATAAAAGGGAATATTTGACTTGTTATTGTAACGCAAAACCCGTAGTTTTGACAAGTGACCACGATCCTACATAAAAATAAATATCAGGCTTTACCAACCTGATTAATCAGCCTTATTACATTCAAATAAATAAAATTCATTTTATTTAAAAACCACGCCTAGTTCGGAACGTAACAATTGGATTCTCGACGAATGGCGAACAGCCGCCAACCAAGATTTTTATTTTTTTTCATATATGCAATGAAGACGTTTTATTTTTATCTTTTGCATCTGGTCGACAATAAAACTGAATTTTCACAATATTATATTGAGCGTTTGATATGAGAAATCTACAAAATGATATTATTGTTTATTTTGAATTGTCTCTACCCTTATATTTCTGCTATGTATATAAAGTTAGCAAAACAACTTCAAGCTATGAATGTGAAAAGTATCTATAAATTTGCCGTTTTTTAGCCGCTAATTAGTTGTGGAAAAAAAAATTTTGCCGCTTTAAAATTTTTTTTAATACAGGGTGCTTTGCTAAGTTCATATGAACTTAGCAAAGCACCCGCTGTAAAAACGTAGATTACAAATATAAAAAAAAATCCTCTTCATAGGAATTTGCCGTTTTTTTGCCGTAACACAATAAAAAAATGTGTTTTCAAAAAAAAAAATTTTTTAATTTAAAAAAAAAAATTTGAAAAAAAGTTCCAAAAATATTTTTTTCTTATAAATTTTAATTTTAATCATATGCTCTCCACATCAGCATGAATGAAAAAAAAACTGAAAAATATAGTCATAAGTGATATATTGTTAATCATTCTTATGAACATATCTTGTCTATAAAACAAGTAGGGAATCCTTTATGTTCATTACATGACTATATTATTTCCTCATTATGTAATGCAAAAAATCTGCTTCATCTTGGACGAAACAAAAAATTTCTTTAAATCACTTGATTGATTTAAATAGAATTTTTTAAAAAATAACGAGTTGAAAAATGTGTTCAATTAATTAAAAGTAATTACATTATTTTTTAAATTAAAAATTCTGAAAATTTAAATTATTTTACAAACCAACAAATTGAACAAGTAATACTTCACATGTATTCTGAATAAATACGCTTCAAAAATTTTTAAATGCTAACGGCAAAATCAAAACCTCAAAAATTACAATAAATTTGTTAAACGGCAAAATCCTTTTCTAAAATTACAAATAAAACTTGAAGTAGTGATAAAAAAAAAAATTATTTCATTAGTTATTTCAATAAAAACGCTTCAAAAATACTTAAAAGCAAACGACAAAATCGAAACATGAAAAATTACAATGAATTTGTCAAACGGCAAAATCCTTTTTCAAAATTACAACTAAAACTTGAAATATTGATTAAATAAAAGAATTATTTCACTAGTTATCTCAATAAAAACGCTTCAAAAATTCTTAAAAGCAAACGGCAAAATCGTAACCTGAAAAATAACAATAAATTTCTCAAACGGCAAAATCCTTTTCGAAAATTACAAATAAAACTTGAAATATTGATTAAAAAAAAGAAATATTTCACTAGTTATCTCAATAAAAACGCTTCAAAAATTCTTAAAAGCAAACGGCAAAATCGTAACATGAAAAATTACAATGAATTTGTCAAACGGCAAAATCCTTTTCTAAAATTACAAATAAAACTTGAAGTAATGATAAAAAAAATGAATTATTTAACTAGTTATCTCAATAAAAATGCTTCAAAAATTTTTAAATGCTAACGGCAAAATCAAAACCTCAAAAATTACAATAAATTTGTTAAACGGCAAAATCCTTTTCTAAAATTACAAATAAAACTTGAAGTAGTGATAAAAAAAAAAATTATTTCATTAGTTATTTCAATAAAAACGCTTCAAAAATTCTTAAAAGCAAACGGCAAAATCAAAACATGAAAAATTACAATGAATTTGTCAAACGGCAAAATCCTTTTTCAAAATTACAACTAAAACTTGAAATATTGATTAAATAAAAGAATTTTACAATTTTGCCTTTTGCTTTTAAGAATTTTTGGAGCATTTTTATTGAGATAACTAGTGAAATAATTCTTTTATTTAATCAATATTTCAAGTTTTAGTTGTAATTTTCGAAAAGGATTTTGCCGTTTTACAAATTCATTGTAATTTTTCATGTTTCGATTTTGCCGTTTGGATTAAAAAAAATTTTTAAGCGTTTTTATTGAGATAACTAGTAAAATAATTCTTTTTTTTATCACTACTTCAAGTTTTATTTGTAATTTTGGGAACGGATTTTGCCGTTTGACAAATTCATTGTAATTTTTCATGTTACGATTTGCCGTTTGCTTTTAAGAATTTTTGAAGCGTTTTTATTGTCATAACTAATGAAATAATTTTTTATTTTATCAATATTTCAAGTTTTATTTGTAATTTTGGGAAAGGATTTTGCCGTTTGACAAATTCATTTTAATTTTTCATGTTACGATTTTGCCGTTTGCTTTTAAGAATTTTTGAAGCATTTTTATTGAGATAACTTGTGAAATATTTCTTTTTTTTAATCAATATTTCAAGTTTTAGTTGTAATTTTGAAAAAGGATTTTGCCGTTTGACAAATTCATTGTAATTTTTAAGGTTTTAATTTTGCCGTTTGCTTTTAAGAATTTTTGAAGCATTTTTATTGAGATAACTAGTGAAATATTTCTTTTTTTTAATCAATATTTCAAGTTTTATTTGTAATTTTGAAAAAGGATTTTGCCGTTTGACAAATTCCTTGTAATTTTTAAGGTTTTGATTTTGCCGTTTGCTTTTAAGAATTTTTGAAGCATTTTTATTGAGATAACTAGTTAAATAATTCATTTTTTTATCATTACTTCAAGTTTTATTTGTAATTTTAGAAAAGAATTTTGCCGTTTGACAAATTCATTGTAATTGTTCATGTTACGATTTTGCCGTTTGCTTTTAAGAATTTTTGAAGCGTTTTTATTGAGATAACTAGTGAAATATTTCTTTTTTTTAATCAATATTTCAAGTTTTATTTGTAATTTTGAAAAAGGATTTTGCCGTTTGACAAATTCCTTGTAATTTTTAAGGTTTTGATTTTGCCGTTTGCTTTTAAGAATTTTTGAAGCATTTTTATTGAGATAACTAGTTAAATAATTCATTTTTTTTATCATTACTTCAAGTTTTATTTGTAATTTTAGAAAAGGATTTTGCCGTTTGACAAATTCATTGTAATTTTTCATGTTACGATTTTGCCGTTTGCTTTTAAGAATTTTTGAAGCGTTTTTATTGAAATAACTAATGAAATAATTTTTTTTTTTATCACTACTTCAAGTTTTATTTGTAATTTTAGAAAAGGATTTTGCCGTTTAACAAATTTATTGTAATTTTTGAGGTTTTGATTTTGCCGTTAGCATTTAAAAATTTTTGAAGCGTATTTATTCAGAATACATGTGAAGTATTACTTGTTCAATTTGTTGGTTTGTAAAATAATTTAAATTTTCAGAATTTTTAATTTAAAAAATA